AGTCTTCTCCTTGTTTGAAATGAATGTTTGGAGGGACGGCCGGGTCTTGGTAGATTTGCAGTGGTCTGATACTCCTTCCATTTCAATAGAATTGCTTGCACAGTGCTCCTTGAGATGTTTAAAGCTTGGGAAATCTTTTTGTATCCAAATCCAGCTTTAAACTTCTCCACAACAGTATCTCGGACCTGCCTGGTGTGTTCCTTTGTCTTCATGGTTCTCTCTGTGCTTTAAACAGAACCCTGAGACTATCAAAGAGCAGGTGCATTTATACGGAGACTTGATTACACACAGGTGCATTCTATTTATCATCATCAGTCATTTAGGACAACATTGGATCATTCAAAGATCCTCACTGAACTTCTGGACTGAGTTTGCTGCACCGAAAGTAAAGGGGCCGAATAATATTGCACGCCCCACTTTTCAGTTTTTTATTTGTTAAAAAAGTTTAATGGGGGGAAGGAGCCCGAGCTCGTGGGGGAGGTTGAGCGATACCGACTAGAGATAGTCGGCCTCACCTCCACACACAGCTTGGGCTCTGGAACCCAACTCCTTGAGAGGGGTTGGACGCTCCACTTTTCTGGTGTTTCCCGCGGGGAGAGGCGGCGAGCTGGGGTGGCCATTCTCATTGCCCCCCATCTCAGCCGCCACGTGTTGGAGTTCTCCCCGGTGAATGAGAGGGTCGCGTCCCTCCGCCTTCGGGTGGGGGACAAGTCTCTCATTGTTGTGACGGCCTACAGGCCTAACAGCAGTGCAGAGTACCCGGCCTTCTTGGAGTCCTTGGGAGGGGTACTGGACGGTGCACCGCCCGGGGACTCCGTTATTCTCCTGGGGGACTTCAACGCCCATGTGGGAAACGCCAGTGACACTTGGAGAGGGGTGATCGGGAAGAACGGCCCTGATCTGAACCCGAGCGGTGTTCAGTTGTTGGACTTCTGTGCCAGTCACAGTTTGTCCATCACGAACACCATGTTCGAGCACAAGGGTGTCCACCAGTGCACGTGGCACCAGGACACCCTAGGCCGGAGGTCGATGATCGACTTTGTTGTCGTATCATCTGACCTCCGACCGCGTGTCTCGGACACTCGGGTAAAGAGAGGGGCGGAGCTGTCAACCGATCATCACCTGGTTGTGAGTTGGATCCGCTGGCAGGGGAAGAAGCCGGTCAGACCTGGCAGACCCAAGCGTGTAGTGAGGGTCTGCTGGGAACGGCTCGCCGAGCCCCCTGTCAAAAGGACTTTCAACTCACACCTCCGGGAGAGCTTTTCCCAGGTCCCGGCGGAGGAGGTGGACATGGACTCCGAGTGGACCATGTTCTCTGCCTCAATCACTGATGCGGCGGCTCCTAGCTGTGGTCGCAAGGTCTCTGGTGCTGGTCCCGGCGGAAACCCCCGAACCCGGTGGTGGACACCGGCAGTAAGGGATGCTGTTAGGCTGAGAAGGAGTCCTATCGAGCCATGATGGTTTGGGGGACTCCTGAGGCAGCTGTCCAGTACCGGCAGGCCAAGCGTACCGCGGCCCGGGCTGTTGCAGAGGCAAAAACCGGGGACTGGGAGGAGTTCGGAGAGTCCATGGAGCATGACTATCGGTCGGCCTCGAAGAGATTCTGGCAAACCATCCGGCGCCTCAGGAGGGGGAAGCAATTCTTTGCCAACACCATGTGGGTGGAGAGCTGCTGACCTCGACTGGGGATATTGTCGGGCGGTGGAAGGAATACTTCGAGGTTCCACCGCCCGACAATACACAAGCCGCAAGAGAATCGTTCTCTTGGAATCCCTGAAATCAATGTAACGACCGGGTACGTGTCTCCTACGCGACCCGCGCCTGTAACCCACTTAGGCCTCCCCAACTCCGCGAGGACAGCCCACGACACCGCTGTCGGAGACCACAGCTATCTTCACCAGCCACTTTCCGGCTCCGGACGTCTCCTCACGCACCGCTCTTCTAGACGGCGCATGTGTGTGTGGAATTAAAAGTCTGGATTCGATCTGCTGGCTTTCGTCTCCTTTCTGTTCGAACAAAAGGACACGTGGACTGCTCGGCCTCATCTCTACTCCACTCCCATTATTCCTCATCATCTTCACCCTTTTCTTCATCCCTCATCCCTCCATACGGACTGCTCAAAGTAAGACTGTTCTATTGCCACGTTAATGTGTGATTCATGTGATATACATAACATCTCTGCTTAATGTGACCAAACCCCTTTTCGTTGATATTTTCTATTTTTATTTGTAGTCAATAAACCCACAATAACTTGAATCATCGTTTAAGCGTCCTGTTTTCCAATCTTTTGATATCCCTGGCTGATTTCGTACTCATAACCTATCAGATTTGCAAGACTGATCGAGGCAGATTAGTTGGATCTGTGCAGACTTTTAAAACTCTGCTGGTGCCCAAAAAATAAACTCAGATCCCACTTGTGTAGAACGGCGAGACTCTGATCTGGAGACTAGCCGCTCTACACTACAATTTTCTTATCCTACAATTGTGTCCCACTTGTTGTTGATTCATGACAAAAAATTAAAATGTTATGTTTGAAGCCTGAAATGTGGCGAAATGTTGAAAGGTTTAAGCGGGCCGAATACTTTCGCAAAGCACTGTAGTTTTTTAAAGGATAGCCTCCTTTTAAACCCTAGTACCGACCAGGAAGGTACGGTGTTTTTCTAACAACCAACCCATGGGTGATCACTGAGCTTAAAGCCCTCCTGAACCTCATGGGGACAAAAAGGAGCAAAAGAGGATCCAGTACAAGCTCCAGTGGAGGATCAGGAGGGCCAAGAAGGACTATGGGGAAAAGCTGCAGCAGAAGCTGGCGTAGGGAAATGCCTATGACGTGTAGAGAGGTCTTAAGAACATCTCAGGATTTGGACTGAGTGTCAGAGGGACAGCAGATGGAGACTAGCACCGGCTCGGCCTCACCCATCTCCGCTCTGTGGTCAGCCCCACCCTGAACCAGTGGGGGCAGGTCTTTTGGACTTAACGCGATAATTTTGACAGCCCTAGTTTTTTCACAATTTTCTTGTGGGCGGGACCACTCGCGGCCATTTTGGATAGCTCCAGTAAAGCACAATTTTTGGCCCATTTGTCTGAATGGCAGAGATAGGCATGACTACGTCCGTTAATATTTACAGTCTATGCCCTGGACACACTGCAGTTTGCCTACAGGCCCAACATTGGAGTCGAGGACGCTGTCATCTACTTGCTACACCGGACGCTCTCCCACCTGGCGGCCGCCGGGAGCGTTGTGAGGGTCATGTTTTTTGTCTTCTCCAGTGATTTCAACACCATCAGACCGGTGTAACAGGCCATTTTATACTCCCTGGCCAGTTTATAACCCGGGGTATATTCTGGCCTAGGCCCCCCTTTAGGCCAGATTAAACCTCCTCTTGTTTTATCTAATAATAATAAAATATGCTTTTTTTTATTACTTCAAAACAAGGAACAAGGCTTTAGTCTTGCTTTTCATAAGCTGCAATGATTATATTTGTCCACAAGATGTCAGTGTTTCAAGCTAGTCTGAGCAGTCTGAGCTAGCTCAGAGGCTCCGACACATTTGAACCAATCTGACAAAGAAAGCCTCACTGTATTACGGGGCTTCATCTGCCCATCACTGGTAGATATTTTTCTCAGAAATGTATTAAAGGACTGACGTCTGCGGAACAGTTCATCAGTTTGTCTCAATAGGAGACAACAGAATCTGCCATATACCTCGAGAACAAGTCCGAGCACTTTAGTGCTGTGATTGGTGTTGAGTGATGAGACTCTATGGTGTAGTATGGTACTGTACAGTACAGTACAGGAGTATTAGGACATTGTTATAGTTTTATCATGTAAATTCAATATGGTATATCAGCATTTATATTATATTGCTTAATTGATTTCTTACAGCACTTTGTTTTATAGTATAGAATAGTTTATTTCATAAATCATGTCCTTTCTCTAGATGTATTTTGTAAGAAATGAGAAAATTATCAAAATATCACTTTTATTTTATTGTTATTATATAAAATGAAGGGGTTGTTAATCTTGCCTATTGGGGGTTAAACTAGCCCGGGCCAGTTCATACGATTAAAATTAAAAGATCCTTTATTTGTCCCACAGTGGGGAAATGTCGGTGTTGCATCACAAGTTATAGAACAGTAGGAAAGAGGAGCACATGTTAAGTGAACAATAGCTGTACTAATTAAAATAAAACAAAATCTCTATACCTGGGGGTATATTCTGCCCATGGCCAGTTTATACCCAGGGCCTAGGCTACTTTTTACCCGGGTATATTCTGGCGGGGAGTTAAACTGGCCCGGCACTGCTGCGGGGGAACATGGAGGACGCGGGAGTGGACAGTAACCTCACTGCATGGACCATCAACTACCTCTCAGACCGACCACAGTAAGTGCGGCTGCGCAGCTGTGAGTCTGAGGTGGTCGTCTGCAGCACTGGGGCCCCTCAGGGCACTGTCCTCTCACCGTTTCTCTTCACCATCAACAATTTGTTCTTCACATATGACACACACAGCTGCCACCTGCAGAAGTTCTCCGACGACTCCGCCATCGTGGGCTGTGTGTCTGAGGGGAACGAACTGGAATATCGGTCGGTTATCATGGACTTTGTCGACTGGTGTGAGCGCAACCACTTGTGCTTGAACACCAGTAAGAACAGTAATCAAACTACTTCCCCATACTCCGCTTAACATCCAGGGGGAGTGCAAGAAGTAGTGCTACCGCAGGGCCTTTATCACCGCTGTCAGACTGTACAAGTCACTAATGCACCAGCACTGAAAAAATCTGCACTGCTATTGCCACTCTTTCTTTTATTGCCACTTTTTTATAAATTTTACTTTTGTATAAGTATATCCTGCAGACTATATTTTTAACCTTTAACTTGTTTGCACAGTTGCACAAAATGATTTTATCCATGCCAAATGTCACATGTAAATTTCTCCAGAGTGAGATCAATAAAGTCTATCTTATCTTATCTCTTGTTTTAGCCATTATATTAGCTCTGACCTCAGTGTGAATCCAGAACTGGTACAGGAGGTTCAGCTGGATGTGGACCGCAAAGATGGAGGGAGGCACGGCCAAAGCTAAGGGCAGGTAGAAGATCTGAAAGACAAGTGGAGTGAGAATATTTACCTAGTGTTTTGGTGAATACTTGATCCAACACTGACTGCTCCTGACCCTAACTGTGACTCTAACCCTGACCTATGAGTTGGGTTATGGTTCATAGTTTCAAAGCCTACAGTACATTCTAATATCATGATTTATGGAAAAAACGCAAGTCAAAAAAGAGACAACATTTCAAAAAATTGGTATCAATATCAGTAGAAAAAAAATCAAATTGGTAATTTCCAATGCCCAGATCTCACAGCGATGTATTCCAGGCTTCTCCTGAGACACCAACAGCCTTGTCTGTGCCCTGTCTGAGCCTCATCTTAGTTATACCCAGGCGGTGAACTGCTGGCTCAGGGACTGGCGCAGTGCAGTTGTTAGGTTGTAGAACTCAGAGCTGTGGTGAACCTGATGAGCAGCCCACATGAAGGAAACCTCTGAAACATACACACACACAACATATGTATTTTTATATAACACACACACACATATTGTACATATAAACATATATAATACATACAATCCCACTGACGACTACTGTCGTTGTGTCCTTGGGCAAGACACTTAACCCCACTTTGCCTGAAACCCCCACTGAAAGATCAAGGCTCCTGTGGACTCAGCACCTGCAGGAGGATCAGTGAGGGGCTGGTGCTCAGTGTACTGAGTGTAGCTCTGACTGCCACCCCCGACCCAGAAATGGATTAATGGGAAGAAGATGGAATGGATGGATGGACATACATACATACATACATATAACATACATACATATAATTAACATACATACATACACAACACACGTACACACTTACATACATGCATGCACACATACATACATATACATGTATATATACAGTGTATACACACATGTGTATATATATATATATATATATATATATATATATATATATATATATATATATATATATGCGTGCGAAGATCCTGTGGGACTTCCAGATACAGACCGACCGAATGGTAATGGCGAACCAACCTGACATTGTGGTGGTAGACAAAGGGCAGAGGACAGCCGTGGTGGTGGACAAAGGGCAGGACAGCCGTAGTGGTGGACAAAGGGCAGAGGACAGCCGTGGTGGTGGACAAAGGGCAGAGGACAGCCGTGGTGGTGGACAAAGGGCAGAGGACAGCCGTAGTGGTGGACAAAGGGCAGAGGACAGCCGTGGTGGTGGACAAAGGGCAGAGGACAGCCGTAGTGGTGGACAAAGGGCAGAGGACAGCCGTGGTGGTGGACAAAGGGCAGAGGACAGCCGTGGTGGTGGACAAAGGGCAGAGGACAGCCGTGGTGGTGGACAAAGGGCAGAGGACAGCCGTGGTGGTGGACAAAGGGCAGAGGACAGCCGTGGTGGTGGACAAAGAGCAGAGGACAGCCGTGGTGGTGGACAAAGGGCAGAGGACAGCCGTGGTGGTGGACAAAGGGCAGAGGACAGCCGTGGTGGTGGACAAAGGGCAGAGGACAGCCGTGGTGGTGGACAAAGGGCAGAGGACAGCCGTGGTGGTGGACAAAGGGCAGAGGACAGCCGTGGTGGTGGACAAAGGGCAGAGGACAGCCGTGGTGGTGGACAAAGGGCAGAGGACAGCCGTGGTGGTGGACAAAGGGCAGAGGACAGCCGTGGTGGTGGACAAAGGGCAGAGGACAGCCGTGGTGATCCCTGGAACAACCTCGGACATCTGGGTCCAGAAATGTGCAGTGCTAGGAACAGCAAAGATACTGCGCAGAACCCTCCCAGGCCTCTGGTAGAGGACCCATACATATATGTATGTATCACACTCACCGGCCACTTTATTAGGTACACATTGCTAGTACCAGAAGAGTGCCAAGAAAATACCCCCCACACCATTACACCCCCACCACCAGCATGAACCGTTGATACAAGGCAGGATGGATCCTTGCTTTCATGTTGTTGACTCCAAATTCTGACCCCTCCGAATGTCACAGCAGAAATCAAGACTCATCAGACCAGGCAACTTTATACAATCTTCTATTGTCCAATTTCGGTAAGCCTATGCAAATTATAGACTCAGTTTCCTGTTTTTAGCTGACAGGAGTGGCACCCGGTGTGGTCTTCTGCTGATGTCACCCATCTGCTTAAAGGTTTGACATGTTCTGTGTTCAGATAGGCTCTCTTGCATATCCTGGTTGAAACAAGTGGTTATTTGAGTTACTGTTGCCTTTCTCAAAAAATCTCAGTAGATCAGAAGTGATTAAATACTCAGACCAGCCCATCTGGCACCAACAACCATGCCATGTTCAAAGTCACTTAAATCACCGTTCTTCCCCATTCTGATGCTCAGTTTGAACTGCAGCAGATCGTCACTCGCTGCTCTGACCATATGAACGAGCCGTCTTTTGCTTAAAAATGCTTTGACCCGCAGCGCAGAAGAATGGGAAGATTAAAACAGCAGTTCTCTGTGCAAAGGTGCAGAAGCTGTTGCGGGTTTTGGCGCCGCTGTCTCAGCTCTGATCCATTATAACGCATAGCTGCACTTATGAAAAGTACGCAGCTTGAAATATGTGTTATTTCAAAGAAAGTGGAATATTTTAAACTACGTGTGTAATGTCTGTATTAGCTTATACGACATATATAAAGAGACGAGACCAGGAGCTTACTTCGTGTGTACTTTTACTGACCAGAATGCCGCGTAACACTCGTTTACATGGGGTAAAGCGCATCCCACAATACCTTGCGCAGGTGTCTCTTAAAGAGACCGTACATGTATTCCATACATTACATCTCCCCTTCTTACAGATGATTTACCCATGTATTAACACCATTTTAAATGTATGTTCTTGTAGCACAAATCCCCAAACATCATGATGCTACACAAGAATATTCATTTCGAATTTCCAACGCATTAGGCCGGTACTACTATGAAAGTATCAACAGAACATTTCCAATTTTATGCTCACCCACTATTCTCCCCAAATAGAAAGAGGACACTTACTTATAAACCCCCATAGAACCAAAGGTATAACAAAAGCTGTGCGGACTTAAACATTAGCTATAGGCGTAAAACTGCTCTACAGTCTGATTACTTACAAGTCAAGTTTAGCTGCTGGTCTGCTAACTCTACCAGAGCGAGTCATCCCGGATCCGGATGTAACAGTCTCTGGTGTAATAACTGCGGGCTCCTTGTTGGTCATCTCAGAGTCCACAGTCTGTGAGTTTGCAACAGGATCCACATTTTCAGGTGTGGCCCTGTGAGGTACGGCTAGCAGGTGGCGCCTATTCCTCCTGTAGCGCTCACCCTGTGCAGTCTCCACTATATAAGACCTGGGAGTGGAGCTGGTACCTTGAATGACAGCTGGCCTCGTCCACTGTTTTTGTCCATCCAGTTTAGTGAGCACAGGGTCCCCTGGGCTCAGTGGTGGCAGACAACGCACTCCGTGTCTGCGGTTGTAGAAGTGTGCCTGCTTCTGTTTAGCTGAGGCATCAGCCTGTTGGATTTTGTCCATATCAGGCCAGCCTGGTTTCAGGTTGTCCTGTAGAATAGGCAAGGTGGTTCTAAGTTTCCTTCCCATCAACAGTTCAGCGGGGCTGGCTCCAGTGGAAGAGTTGGGAGTGGCCCTGTATGTCATGAGGGCCAGTAGGGGATCGTTCTGTCTCAAGATATTCTTTGCAATCTGGACAGCTCGCTCCGCATGTCCGTTGCTCTGAGGGAAGTGTGGAGATGACGTGACATGGGCAAAGTCATACTCCCTACTAAAGTCCTTCATCTCTGCAGAGGCTAGCTGTGGCCCGTTGTCACTAACTAACACCTCTGGGATGCCATAACGTGCCAAAGTAGCCTTAAGTCTAGACACAACCTGGCTGCTTGTAGTAGTGGGTAAATGCAGTATTTCTAAAAATCTAGAAAAATAGTCAGATACAACTAAGTAGTTCTGCTTTTTGGACTCGCATAGATCTACTGCTATCTTCTGCCATGGCCTGGATGGGAGTATACTTGGAAGTAAGGGCTCTTTTCGTTGTGTGTTTCTGTTCTCTGTACAGTACTGACATTGCTGCACTTTCATAGAAATGTCCTGTCTCATTTTGGGCCACCAAACCGACTGTAAAGCTCTTTCTCTACACTTAGTTAGACCCTGGTGCCCGTCGTGAATTCTGTCTAGGACCATTACTCTCATGTTTACAGGAATCACAATACGGCTCCCTCTCACTATCAGGCCATCTAGCTCAGATAGCTCTCCTCTCACATCATAGAAGTCTCTGACTGACAACGGTACCTTGTCTATGTACTCTGGCCACCCTGATTTGATAAAACTACGAACAGTCTGTAGCTGTGGATCATTAGCAGTGCTCTCCCTGATCTCACTGATTCTCTGAGAGGTGGCTGGCACCTGACTAATGACTACATCTATGTGTGCTGCTACGCCTTGGTGGGAATTCTCATCTCCGTAACTCTGCTCTGGGCCCCGAGACAAAGCGTCGGCTACTGCCAGAGTTTTACCTGGTGCATACTCTGCAATACCATTAAAGCGCATGAGTCTCATTAACAGTCGCTGGCACCTGATGGGAACGTTGTCCAGGTCCTTGCTGTTAATCAAGGGTACGAGGGGCTTGTGGTCGGTTACCAGTCTGAAGTTGTCGAGTCCAAAAAGGTACTTTTCGAACCTTTCGCACGCCCAGACACTGGCCAGGCACTCTTTTTCAATTTGAGCGTACCTGGTCTCCGTGTCGCTGAGTCGTCTGGATGCGTAGGCCACGGGTTTCCATCGGTCCCCGTGCTGCTGTAGTAAAACAGCTCCCAGTCCGTAACTGCTCGCGTCTGCTGAAACTACATTTGGTTTGTTAACATCATAAAAAACAAGAACTGGGGCTGTGGCCAACAAAGCCTTGAGGTTTTGAAAAGCTGTGAGCTGGGCAGGCTCCCAACCCCACTCTACGTTTCCCTTAAGCAGCGCGTAGAGTGGCTGGCCCACAGTAGACAGTTCTGGAACATATTTAGCCAAATAATTCACCATACCAAGGAACCTTTTCAGCTCGGTGATGTTCTGTGGCTGAGGGAAATTCTCAATCCCTGCGACTTTGTCCGGGTTAGGACGAACGCCGTTCTTGTCGAGGACGTGTCCGAGGAAGCGAATCTGGTCCCGCCGAAACTTGCACTTGCGTTCATTCAACTTGAGCCCTGCTGCCTTGATGACTGCCAGAGCCTTCGCCAAGCGCTGGTCGTGGATTTCCACATTCTCTCCGTGAATGAAGATATCATCCATGTACACTTCAGTCCCTTCGAGTCCTGCCAGAGTCTCCGCCATTTTCCTTTGGAAAATCTCTGGTGCACTTGTGATCCCGAATGGGAGCCGCCGAAATGCGTACCTCCCAAATGGAGTAATGAAAGTTGTGAGCTTTTGACTGTCCTTGTGCAGCGGCATCTGGTAAAAACCACTGGCTGCATCTAGTGAAGTAAAGACTCTGGATCCGGCCAGCCTGGGCAAAATCTCTTCCACAGTGGGCAGGACATATTTTTCACGCTGCACTGCACGGTTAAGCTTCCTGAGATCTGCACAACAGCGCACCTCCTCCCGGTTGGGCTTGAGCACCGGCACCATGGCTGCACACCACTCTGTTGGCTTAGTCACCTTTTCAATGATGCCTTCGCTTTCCATTCGGTGCAGCTCCTTCTTTACCAGAGGGACGAGGGGCAGGGGAATCCGTCTGGCTGTATGTACTGCATATGGCTGGGCACCCTCTTGTAGAACTATCTTCACTGGCTCTGTGTCCAGCAGTCCACCTGAGCTGAAAACAGTACTGACCTCGTTCACTCTTATCACAAGGCCCATCTCCACTGCCTCATGGCGCCCCAGTAAGCAGCTGACTTTCCCTTCTATGACATAAACATTGAACGTGTACTGCTGCTCTTTATACTTGGTGGTAGCCTGGAACAGCCCCATGCATTTGAGATCTCCGCCTGGACTCACAAACCTGGTGTTTGGTAGTTGCAGCTCAATTTTTGGCTTCATCATCTTGTATGTGCTCTGATTGACGACTGTAACATCTGCACCAGTGTCTATTTTAAATGTTGTCAGCACATCATTTATGTCCAAGTCTACTGTCCATTTATCTCGATCAGTTTTATTGTCAATTTCTCCAAGGAAGTATGTCTGCTCCGACTCTTCAGTGATTTCTCTTACAGCCTTAGAGTGACACACTCGCTCCCAGTGCCCTTGTTTTTGACACTTATTACACTTGCTCTTAAGTGCAGGGCATTTTTTTATGTCCGAATGTTTGGGCTTACCGCACTTCCCGCAGCCCTCCATTTTGTATGTTCCCTGCCGGCTGCTTGCATCTTGGCGCGGTCTATAACGCCCCGGTCTGTCCGTGTGAGGTCCGCTCTGCCGGCGGACCATGTTCACCGCCATGGCCTCTGGCGCGCTGGACTGGAGGCTGACGTGCTTGTTGATCTCTTCTGCCTGGCGAATTTGTTCAGTCACCTCTTGTAACGTCAGGTCTTCTTTGAGTTGGAACTTACGGGACAGCTCTTTATCTTGAATGCCCACTACCAAGCGATCTCTGATGTGCTCATCCCGCTTATCGCCAAACTCGCGATGCTCCGCCACCTCGTACAAAACACGGATATACTGCTCTGCCGTTTCCCCGGGCTGCTGGCCGCGCTGATAGAAACAAGCCCGCTCATGTATGATGTTGCGGCGGGGAATAAAGTACTCGTCAAACTTCTTAAGCACCGCCTCGTAGCTTTTCTTTTCGTCTTCACTTAGGTTGAACGAAGTGAATAGCTTTTCAGCCTCGCTCCCCATCGAATAGATGAGCGAACTCACTTGAATCTCGCCACTGTCCTTGCTGAGTTTTGTTGCAAGCCGATAGCGGGAAAATCTCTGTTTCCATTCGAGCCATTCAGCAGGTCGGTCAAACTTAAATTCACTCGGTGGGTTAAACTTCGCCATCGCGGTGATATCCTGGCTGCATGCGGGCCACTTCTGACACCATGTAATGTCTGTATTAGCTTATACGACATATATAAAGAGACGAGACCAGGAGCTTACTTCGTGTGTACTTTTACTGAACAGAAAGCCGCGTAACACTCGTTTACATGGGGTAAAGCGCATCCCACAATACCTTGCGCAGGTGTCTCTTAAAGAGACCGTACATGTATTCCATACTACAGTACAAACCAATAAACATTTGATCACAAAAAAACAATATGTGAGAAGGTGCAGCTTAAATAGTAACTGTAACTCTATTTTAAATTTAAATGTATTCTTTAGAAGTGTTTTTTATTCTTTATTTTTATTATCTCTTTCTGACTGTTGCACTGAGCCAAAGCAATTTCCAAGTCTGTGACTTCCTTTTACTAACGTGGCAATAAAAATGATTCTGATTCTGATTAAATTTGTATTAATCGAAATTGTTTTGAATGAAGTACAGGCTCTTTAATGTAATTAGTTGTTTAATGTATAAATGTATGACAAAACAAAGTCTTTGAATATTCAAAGGCTTGTGGTGTCCTGGCTCTCCACCTCCTCTTCAGAGCAGCAGTCTTCTGACCTCCCCCTGCGCTCCTCCAGAGAGTGCCTCCTCAGTGGGAGCATCTGGGACGCCTGCCCCATGCCCTGATGCGCGTGGAGATGGCACGTGCTGTCGAAGAGCGTACAGTACCGGCACCAGTCCGAGATGCTGTGGTCGGAGCCTGCACGCTCGAGGGAACTGTCGTGTATGCGCTGGCCCACCCCCTGCCCACGGGCCAGGCTAAGCAGCTTGGGCAGGGTCACCACAGCCGCCGCCGTCACAGTCACCTCCGCGCTCACTTTGCTGTCCACTAGCCTCCCGGGAGGTGAGGTCGTCTTGGGGAGAAACCAAGAAAAGGATAGAAGAAGAAAGACACATTAGAAAGAATCAAATGATTTGTAAATGTCAGTATAAGTATGCATGCCGGTTAAAGATCCTTATTACTCCCAATATTTGGGTAGGCCACATGCTTAAGCATCTCTTCTCTTTGAGGTTAGGGTTATTATCCATGTATATCAAAATAAACAAACTACACTTGCTTGCACTTACGAAGAATGTTCATAAGATCCAAGTGAAATCCCTTCTATAAAGACAATCCTAAATCGATCCAGCCGCAGAAGAAGAAAGACTTCCATTTCCTGTGGCTAATGCCACAAACTGAGATAGCAATGAAAAAGCAACAGAACCCACCCTTCTAAACGGACACTTAAAGTTAGTTTTTTTATTTTGCCGGAAGGGGATGTGGACAAGACAAAAGTTGTGTGTGCGCATTGCAATGGCAAATTTATTTACCACCACAGTAACTCTTCCTTAATATATCCTGTACGAGCGAAGCCCTATCCTCAAGCAACTCTGGAGGAGAAGTTTGGTGCAAGAATGGAACCGCTTTCCAAACAAATCAATGACTGGATAGCCAAAGCAATTGCGTGTTGGGTTGCTAGACATTGCCGTCCAACAAATATTGTTGAGGATGTGGGTTTCTGTCAGGTACTTAACAGAGACATCATGTACAAACTAACATCTCCAAAATAGACTGTGCAAAATAACTGTACAACAACAAAAAGACTGAAAGACTGGAACTTTTGCAGAAAGCATCTTATGTTGCCCTAACAGGAGTTTATTGGACGTCCTTTGGAAACGAGAACTTTTTGGGGTTTCAGCTCACTTTGTTGATGACGACTGGCGTCTCCAATTACTTTTTACTGAGCCCCAAAAGGGTTGTTAAATCAGCTACATATAGCTGCAACACTGTCGAGGCAGACCAATAATATCGCCATGCTCACTGAAACTAAGCTTGCAAAGCTGATGAAGCTTCTTGAACCATGCAGGTGATTTTTTTGTTCATGATTTGTTTAAATAAATGTAAATGTTTTGTGTTATTTATTTGTTAAGTGTTTATGAACCAACTGGGTACTAGACAATGGTGAATGTACTTATTGCAGTGGTACAGCGGGGGTCATCTGGAATTATATAATTCAATTATAATTATAATTATTTAATGGCCCTGCTCTTGATCCAAATGTCTGCCCAAATCTGAGAGATGTGAAGTTTGGAATTCTTAGACAGAGCTAAAATAAATAAAAAAATAAAAAAATCAACAAACCCACACTCCTGATACAACTGATTTGCCAGCAAAAAAGAGCACGATTTTCTTTGAAGCATCCAATTCAGACACTGATGATGAAGGAGAGACAGCGCAAATCTTGCACTGCTGCAGGGCAGAACCAAAACTTCAGATGGATGAATGTCCCTTGCAGTGGTAGTTGAAAAGAAATGACTCCTATGGTAAGCTACCACTCCTTGCCCACAAATATATCTTTTCTCCTGCCACCACAGTGCCCTGAAGAGACTGCTCACCCTCTCAGGACATTTCGTTCAGAAAAGGAGGGCATCTCTCTCCTTTGCTAATGTAAACAAACTGGCAATGTGAAAAATAATAGGTTTGCTTATCTGTTCTGTTAGCTAACAAGTTTTTTTTTTTTTGACTGGATAATAAGCTGCAAAACTAAATGCATGTACACTTACATTTGAACTCAGGAATAAAATAAAATAAAAATCCAGTAGACAAAATGATATTGTTTATATGGAGGTGCACATTGTTTATATGGCCTTTTTTTAATTGCAATGCAACTCATTGTTTGATTTTTTTTTTTGATTCCCGCCCTTAGTTAAAAGTAAAAAATATAGTATTTTTTGTGTAGGATATAATATGTAAAATAAAAAGTGGATAAAGCAGTGCTGGTTTTTCAGTCCTAGTGCAGGTCATTAGTGACTTAAAGTCAGTTTTTTTACAGTCTGACTGCGGTGGGAAGGAAGGCCTTGCGGTAGCCTCAGTCTTCCATTGAAAAAGCTCTGGTCAAACTGACCCAGCACAGTGATTAGAAAATATCCTAAAAAATGGTTTTCCGAGCTGAATTCTGATGATTTTTCTAAACTTGGTACGCCCAAGGTCATATCCAACCTTTAAGACCCCATTTTAGGGTATTTTTCTTCTACTTTTAATAACTATGGCGGGCCATTTTGACCTGAGGGTATGTCACTGGGTGCAATAGAGATGGAGTTATTTAATGCATTTTGTGGGTTTTTATTATTTTATTGACTCACACACGTGACTGCGGTGAGTGAGTGAAGCGTCTTTGAGTGTCCAAACAAGCGCTATATAGACAAATGCATTTTTGTTGTTGTTATCTCTTTTAAAATCAGGCATTTAGCTAATTGATCCTTCTAAATTAGCCCTGTTTCATGTAGGATGGGGTTGTCCGCCAACCTGCTCCTGTTCAGTGCAGGTGTGGAGGATGCATCAGCCTCCTGCACTTTACATGCCCTGCATTTACTGGTGGTATGTGCAATTCGTACTATGAAAATAACCTTTTGTTTAGTAACATTGGGCCTCATTCACGAATATGTTCTTAAGAATCTTCTTAAATTTCTTGTCAAGTTGTTCTTAAGTAGATTTCTAAGAAGACCCTACGTGGGATTCATCAACCCGCTTGTAAGCCGCTGAATTGTCCGCAGCTGTTCTCTTAGATTGATGAATGCCATTTCCTCGTAAGTAGAGCCCGCGTGCTCGGTGCTTCATTAGCATAGGTACTTAGCATAGGTAACCGCCCACTAATGCCCATATAAGGGACTGCAGGGCCGTGTGCGGCCCTTCAGCAACAGGCCTAAAGCAAAGAGTTACACGGAGCAAAAAGAGTCACCCTTTTTTCTTCTTTTGCCAAAATGAGAATAAAGTAATAAAATGTTGACTTAAAAGTTGAAATATTATGAGAATAAAGTCGAACTAGCAAAATTATGAGATTAATTTAAAAATATGATGAGATTAATCTAAAAATATTTTGGACCCTGGGAGGAGATCCAGCGCGGACCAGCGCTGAGACCAATGTAGACCCGAGGAGACCAGCAGGAGACCAGACCAAAGACCAGCACACAAAAACCAGCGTGGGCCGAGGAGAGTCCGCATATACTGTAGACTGGAGAGACCACAGATTGGAGAGACCGGCGCGCAGACACCAGCGCGGACCGAAGAGAGACCGCATATAGATCGGAGAGACCAGCGCGGTCCTGTAATAGATCCACGGGAGAGACCAGCGCAAAGGGTCAGCGCGGACCCCGCAGCCTCCTGCAGCAGCACTATAAATGCCATTGTTCTGTGGCCCGTGGATAAAGAAATGCCTCCTATAAATAGGATGGGGTCACTAATACACGGCATGATTTCCAATGTATTTGATACAGCGTTGGTACATTTAATTTAAAAATGAATAAAAAAATAGGCTAAATTACCATAAACAATTAAATAAATAAATACATACATCAATATGACAAACATATCAATGTAATGTTGTGTTTTATTGAACTCCACAAAAGAATACAACACCAGCGTGCGAACATGTCAGCACTGAATGTGCGTAAGAGTGCTCCTGAGCACTCGTGGGATTTGTACGTACCCAAGAGAAATTCTGGTTATAAGAAAATTTCATGAATGTCACAATCTTGGTAAAATCCTCGTAAGTAGGATTTACGCACAAATTTGTTCTTAAGTACAGTTCGTGAATGAGGCCCATTCTTTTGCATCTACCATAGATGTCTCCCTGGAGTTGAGAAGAGGATAGCGGATATCTGTGATGGCTGGAATTGTGCGCCACACTTTGTCAACATGGACTACATAAAACTGTACTATACTCTACATCTGAAATTACTCAAAACTATATTTGGTTAAGTACAATTAAAGAGACAGTAAATGTTAATCTGCCTCAGTCTCTTCATAAAACTTACTTGTGTGCTTTAATTCATTCCATAGATGTTGCTGGTAATGTCTTCTTGTCATTTGAAACTACACCACCACCCTGTTACAGATAACAAGGGAACAAGACACGGGGCAAACGGACCCAAGGACCAGGAAAGCTGGAGCCACGCGCAGAACTGAGGAGCGCATAGGTTTTTACTGCTTTTATTTGCTTCATATGGATTCTATTAAATTATTTAATCCCACAGCTTTTGTTTTACAGTGGTCTTTTTAAGTGGTCTTTTTCACAGTTTGACATTAAATGTCCGCCCGCTTTCACTATAGGGAATGCAGCAAGGACAGTAAACGAGACTGAGCATGGGTACGCAGAAAGAAGATTCTGAGGACATAGCTACTCGCCGAGAACTGAACTTGCACGCTGAGAGCCGGGTGGGCCACCCTAGATCCACCGCACACAGGAGAGGAGCCCCACATCTGCGACCTGGAGATAGCTCCACGAAGCATGAAACAAACAGCGGCAAACATGGAGGGCATGGGGTGTAGTGATGCTCAGGTTTGTGCTGGCCTCCAAAAATGCCTTGATGTTTATTATCTGTGAAAGAATCCTACACTTGATTTCTGCGTATACACGTAAAGAAGTGTCTTTCTTTTCCAGATGAACATCAAATCAAATTGTATATTATAGGCTCTTGAGATTGTGTGTAGCACTCAGGGTGTCATAGTAGTAATTTGGAGATTTAGGCCATTGTTATTGTAACTTGGGGGCACCTGTATGATCCCACGGCAATGCAATATACAACAAAATGATAATAGTGAAAGCAAACTGAACTGAAAACGTGGAGGAGCCAAAGAGCGCAGCCACTTTCTGACAGTAGCGTGTGCGGATGATCTTGGCTGAGCGGTACAAGTCCCCAATGAAGCAGTAGCAAATGGGGTTGAGGCTGGAGTTGGTAAGGCCGAGCCACTGGGCGAAGGGGCGCGTTTGCAGGAGCCACCCCGGTGGGCTCTCCTCCCAGTCAATGAGCAGGTCAGCCAGGTACAGCGGAAGCCACGACACGGCGAACAGTAGCACCAGGCACACCACCATCTTGGCAATCTTCTGCCGCGTGCGCAGTCGAGAGTCATGGAGGGCCCGGCTTCTGGGGTCCAGCTCGGAAAAGGCTGAGCGGCGACCCCCCCACAGTCTGCGGCCCGTCAGGAAGCCGATGGTCAGGTTGAAGGTGACGGGGAGGCAGTAGAGCATCACAAAGAGAAGCACGTTGTACCTGGAACACAGGAATGCAAAGGTGTAATTTACAGTATTGAAAACGGGCACACAGTGGCTTTAAAAGTCCTAACATCACTTGAAATTATCATAATTACGGTAAAAGATGGCCCGCTTTTAGAAAAAAGACTAGAAAAAATTAACAACTGTGAAGTGGAAATGATACATTATTTCTACATAAAACATAATACTTTTTTAAACGTATTTTCACTGCATGTCTCTGAGCACATTAAAGTCCTTGAAAATGTCCTAATGATGCTGAACGCTTGCATCTTGCCCTAACCATGAAAAGAGTGTGGAACTGGGCGTGGCCTGTGAGACTGAGAGTGAGGAAGGTGCGGCAGAGTGAGGAGCAGCGCGACCATGGAACAGATCTTCTGATGTTGAATTCATTATCTCTCAGTCTCATTATCAGTGGCGGGCTGTGCATTTCAGACCTACTCAACTTAATCCACCTCTAAACACCATCATTTTGATGCCATGGTTCTACACATTATGCGTTTATTCCAAAAAAGGTGTTGCATTACTTTAACATATAGTTAAGTACAACACGGTTATATTACTACTAAGTGTTATTCACTTCACCAACGGACTGAGCTGTAATAATGTAAAATCAAAACAAAACATCAATCAGTCCGCTACACCGGGAGCAGCGTCACAGGAACATGATGGCACAAAAAATATATTTCAGCAATGCTCCTCAGAGCCTGCTAACCGCTCATAGCAATCTGAAAGTGGCCGATAAATCCTTTCCACTGCTAAGCAAATCTTGCTAGCATCAGGGGTTGGCTGTTCTCTCTTCACAGTGTGTAGCTTTACTTGAAAAGTGTTTCTTGAGAATTCTTTATATTGATTTGTCTGCACAGCTCAGTGCTGACTCTCTCTGTTGCGTGTCCAATCAAAAGACTTGCACACTCTGGAGCAGTAGGCCCGCTAACTGGCCCTCAGTCCATCCCTTCTACTTCAGGCATAGTCAAAGGGGAAAAAAAATACCCAAAAATAATATGCAAACCGTTAATAAATTAAAATAATTATTTGATCAAAATACATACACATGTAAAACATATATAACACATTCAAATGATGAGAAATAAATAAAGCTTTCTAAAAATACATGTTTTTAATTAACCTTTTTTCAGTCTGAATTACAGCTTGATTACATATTACAGATATTTCCATCAACATACACTACCGTTCAAAAGTTTGGGGTCACCCAAGTGTTTTCCATTAAAAGTCACACTTATTCACCACCATACGTTGTGAAATGAATAGAAAATAGAGTCAAGACATTGACAAGGTTAGAAATAATGATTTGTATTTGAAATAATATTTGTTTTACATCCAACTTTGCTTTTGTCAAAGAATCCTCCATTTGCAGCAATTACGACATTCCACCAAAACCAGACATTTGCAGCTAGAATAGTCATTTACCACATAAGCAATGTGTAGAGTGTATTTCTTTACAGTTAAGACTAGTTTAAAGTTATCTACAGTGCTTTTTCTTAAAAAATAAAGACATTTCAAGGTGACCCCAAACTTTTGAATGGTAGTGTAAATCCATAAATTCATAATTTCCATCAATATTAATTACATCAGGGGGCGACAGTAGCTCAGTTGGTAGAGCATTGGCCTTAAGGTCGTGGGTTCAATTCCCACCTCCACCGACTCCCACTGATGACTGCTGTTGTTGTGTCCTTGGGCAAGACACTTAACCCCACTTTGCCTAAAGCCCCCACTGAAAGATCAAGGCTATGCTCACACTCAGAGAGCAGCCGTCCTCCTGTGGACTCACCACCTGCAGAGGGTCAGTGAGGGGCTGGTGCTATGAGACTTGGGTGGCATCTCTGATTGCCACCCCCCTGACCCAGAAATGGATTAAAGGGTAGAAAATGGATGGATGGATGGATTAATTACATCAATGCATTAAATAACAGCCTCACAAAATTATGTCATTAAGCATTAGCGGCACCTGACTTATAAAATCTCAATTTAAAATCCATCAACTTCTTGTGACTAACACATTATTTACGATTGTATCACACGTGTCAGAATCTAAATCTACCAAGGTTGTGATTGTGATTGTCTTGTGCCACGGCCTGATGCGCAATGACAATAAATGCTTTCTGATTCCCAGCGTGTGTTTCCACGTGTGACGCCCTCTAATGTGCTGGTGTGCTTTGGGCTTAAAGTCCTTAATTTTCTTGCGCTTTGAGAAAGGGTAGTGTTTGCTCAGTGTGTGCTCCACTGAGCGGAGTTTTCTGCACAGCCACAATCAGAACGCTTGCCCCAGTTTTAGGTGCGTGGCCTGGGAGCCATCATCAGGCGCTGACATGAGGAATGCTGTCATCAGTGCACCAAACGGGGAGGGACCCTGGAGCGTGCAGATAAGGGCCCCGCGTGAGACCTGCTCCTCCTCTACACACTGCCACCACACACCGTGAACAGCACCTGAGACTGAGGGGACACACCTCAGTGCATATTGCAGAACAAACATTCTATAGGAAGCGTGGTCATTATCGTACATAGGCCAATTCGTGTTGGCTGTGAACAAAAAATAGAAATTTAGCAGGCTGAAATTGTGGAAAGACACATTTAGTTTCAAAGCTGGGATTCCTAACTTTCTCCCCGACAAATATAACATCTTGTACACAACAGAAGATCAGACCAGAACATGCTGTGTTCATCAGATTTGAAAACATGTTTAGCGCACTTGTAAGAAAGAGCCCTGTGAGTCCACTTCAATTCAATCTTTTTATGAAGCATTATTGAAAGAGCTTTGACCAAGTTATGAAAAAAAATGATTTAACTGGTATAAAACTTTAGTGAGAGAGACACTTTAATATGAGGATTTTTTTTGCACAAATCAGCCTCTTCCTTTAGCGTTACAGTAGCAATATGTACAAATTTCCTGTCAAGTCATCATAAAATAAGTCAAAAGGCATTAAAAAACCATGCTCTTTTCAATTACTTCTTTAACAGATAACAGTTGTTCAGTCGAGATATTTTAATTTCAACATGTGTTTTACAACCCCAAAATCTTGTTGTTGTTTTCATTTCAATGTCCCATCATCCACAGTTTCACCGATCAAAAAGTCTGTGATCCAGGTTGCCAGAACTCACAGCATTGAGCTAATCTCGATGATCAATGTAAAGGTGCACTTTATTGATGCCCGTAGGGTCAATTCATCCTCTGCATTTAACCCATCCTGAATGCCGCCAGGGCTTACATCAGGACCAGTAGTCGTTGTAGTAACAGCGCCCAGGAACCCATCTGCAGATGTTGATGCTCGGCTTGGTCAGGACTACCAGACCTGGAGGATTTAACTTGCATGATTTAAACCGGAGTACCCGGAGGAAACCCACGTAAGCACGGGGAGTAAACTCCACTCAGAAAGACCCCGTTCCGACCGGGATTCGAACACAGGACCTTCTTGCTGAGAGGTGAGAGTGTAAAGTAACATGTGGCTGCAGAATTAGAAACGATAGGCAAGGCAAGTTAATTTGTAGAGCACAATTCATACACAAGGCAACTCAAAGTGCTAAACAAAATAAGATAGCCTTAAAATATAAAAATAAATATTCACAGTACATTAAAAGGAGAGATAAAAATATAAAATCCCTAAACAAAATTGTTTTCAACCTGTTTTTTAACATTGTCAGAGAAGAGGCCAGTCTCACAACTTCAGGAAGATTGTTCCAGATTTTAGCAGCATGAATCTGAAAAGCAGCCTCGCCATGTTTAGTTCTGACTCTGGGCACTAACAGGAGTCCAGTCCCTGTGCTCCTCAGAGTCCGGGCTGGTTCATATGGGACTAACATGTCACTAATATATTTTGGTGCGAGGCCATGGAGAGACTTGTACACAAGCAGAGCTGTTTTAAAGTCTATTCTCTGAGCCACAGGAAGCCAGTGCAGGGACCTGAGGACTGGACTAATGTGGTCGTACTTCCTGGTTCTAGTCAGGACTCGAGCTGCTGCATTTTGAATGTACTGCAGCTGTTTTACAGCCTGTTTGGACAGACCTGTGAGCAGGCCATTGCAGTAGTCTAACCCAGTGTTTTTCAACCTTTTTTGAGCCAAGGCACACTTTTTTCACTGAAAAAATCTTGCGGCACACCTCCAGGAGAAAATGTAAAAATGTATACAGTACTAATGTAAAAAAATATATACTGTACATACTCTGTGTGATATATAAAGTATATCTTATCTTATAATGTATACAGTATACTCTGTAGCCTATATTCACAATATACAGTTATTCTCATCAAAATGCTTACAGTAGGTCCCATTCCGTTTTGTCGTCTTCATTCACGCTTCTCGGGAATCACGCAGCTGCGTGAAAAATAGTACATCTTATCGCCACAAGGTGGCAGGCTAAGTCCGCTTTAGCTCTGCCAGCGACTTAGACGCTCAGGTATAAGACTGCGTGCAAACCTTTCTAGCCCAGAGGTGCTATGTTGGCCGAATGGTAGCATTAAAGACTGGGACCTGGAGAACCCAGGTTCGATTCTTGTCTGAGGCACATCTTTTGGTTGCTTGTGGCAAAATTGTTTTTTCATTAAACAATTATTATATAACATCTTGTCTTTAATGTCTGAAAAAATCGAGGTGAAATTCACTAGTGTTATACGTTAAATATTGTGATATGTTTTGATAAACCGAACGTTACGTTACATCCTCCGCTCTGGGCCCGGCAGCAGCTGCTGTGACCCCCGCTCTCACAGCTCAGTGAACGCACTGCAGTCTGGGCTCCGAGCGCGGACCATAGACACGCGAACAGAACCACAGACAGGACCATAGACACCCGAACAGAACCACAGACAGACATTTACATATACGCAGACAGAACCCAGACAGGCGGAGACACGCGAGACACGCGGATCATACTTGGACAGAAGTACTTGGTTCGTGTGAACCCCTGGTCTAGTGGTCTAAACTGTGCGCTTACGACGCAGGAACCTGGGTTCGATCCCGGGCTATGCATTTTTGTATTTATTGCATGTTATCACATTCTATGGCAGATTGCTCTAAAAACGGTAAAAGATGAAGGTCAAGACGTTTTTTTTGCAGATTATAGCTTAATTGTAAAAATAATCATTTAAGACCACATGTACCCCAATTAAAATAATGTTAGTCTCTTTTTGATGTGGAACTTTTACATGTTTGTCTAAAAAATAGGGAATAAATAACATTGAAAGGTGATATCCTCTTGAGCAAACCCTGATGTTGATACGCTGAAGAAATACGTTCCAACATCCATTCTTCCCACTCCTATTTTGGACATCATAGTTTGTTGTCCCCTCCTCCCTCCTCCACAGGAGGCTTTAACATGTAAATGACAATGCTGTGAGCTATACAAATGCTAATCAGGGTTGAGGGGGTGCACGTGTGATTTTTCAGCCAATCACATACATATCCATTACCTATGTCAGGGATGAAGCAGACAGAGACGGATCGTGGTGCGCCAAACTCTGGAAGTTTATTTAAGTTTCTCCTCAAGTTCCAGTGGTTTCAATTGTTTCTTTCTCTCAGACAGAATAAAGGCAGTACACAGTTTATATAGTCATTGTCACGTCACACATCGAAAGACATACGTGTCACACAGAGAGAATGCAATCATAGTCATAACAGTACAAAATCGAAACATAAAAAGTGTCAGGACAGACGTCAATTAAGTCCATGACAATATAGAATTCAAATGAACATTTCTGGTCTCAATAATTCAAGTGATAGACAATTAAAAATATTTGTTTACATTGGAGTAAACTTTTAAAATGCTTTTTTCTCAGGTTCTGCTTTTTCATGTATCTATATGTAAATGTGAATGTGTGAGCGTGTAGATGTATGTATGTGTGTGTGTGTGTGTGTGTGTGTGTGTGTGTAGGGTGTGAATTTTGGGGTTTTTTATTATTATTTGGTTTATTTGGTAGGGACAGAACAAGAAGCATTGTTACAGATTCAGATTCAGATTCATTTATTGGCCATGTGCGGTTTAAAAACTACATTGGAATACAATTGCAAGAAAAGGTACTCTGTGTGCACCGACAGAATAAAAGCACGATACAATGTAATATAAAATACACATACACTGAATACAGGAACCGATGCTGTGTTCATAGGCCGTATAGCTAACAGCTAGTTTGCAGACCTGGTCCCTAAAACCTAGAAATACATCACATTTACATTATACATACATCATTATATTAAAAAAATAAGTAATAAGTTATACTAAATAATAAACAAGAATACAATACAAAATACAAAAAAAAATAAAACATTTAAAAAAAAATACTATAAATGATTACAATCTTGCATTATGCTCACAAGTTTGGGTCCTTTTGAGCCATAGTTTGACTTTAATTTTAAATTCCTTCAAGTCTGTTAGGGCTTTCAGTTCTGCAGGTAACGTGTTCCAAAGCTGTGGCCCTTTCACTGCGAACGCAGTCTGTCCAAATGATGTTTTACATCTTGTTGCTCTGCAGTCTGTATTGGCAGCGCCCCTAGTGGTCATCCTGTGAGCTACACATTTCTCAATCATTCCTGCAGCAATATTGGGAGCGAGGTTGTTTACACATTTAAAGACTAGTTTAATAAAAAAGTATGTTATAAAATTATCAAAACTTAAAAGATTATATTTTTCCTGAACTTTGCAATGGTGCCACAAAGTGGGCTTTTTATCGAGCACTTTCAGAGCTTGCTTGTACAGAGAGTTCAAACCTTTCATGGTGGACTGGTTAGCTTGGCCCCACACAGTGATGCAATATGAAAAATGGGACAGGATCATTGAATGGAAGAACAGCTTGGCTGCACTGATTGAGAGTTTTGATCTTATTAGACGGAAACAGTTCAAGTTGATCTTGACAGTCTTTGTTATCTTTTTCACATGAGCTCCAAATTTAAGATGAGAGTCCATGAGTACTCCAAGATACTTGAACTCCTCTACTCTTTCAATAGTTTTATTATTGATTTGTATTTGAAAGTTGTCTAGGGGCCTTTGCCTCATTGAGAAACACATCGACACCGTTTTAGAGCAGTTTAGTGACAGATGGTTATCCTCCAGCCACTGGGAAACCCTGGTCAGTTGCTTGTTCAGCAACTCTGCCGCTCTTTGAGGACTTTTTGCTGAGACATAGATGACAGTGTCATCAGCATAGAGCTGGGTTACATTGAGTTATGAGTTTCTGCCCCGCGCACATCGGGCAACTCCTTGTAGCAGGCCAGTCTCTGGAATAACCCGCAGACATTAAAACTACTGCATATAACTAGCAATACAAGACTCAGTGGACACTCTGTGGTGAAAAGAGGTCACCGTCTTACTCACTTCAGTTCATATGTGTTACGTCCAGCTCAGCTAGGGAGTAAGAACGTAGCAAAAAACCAGATGGAATTGGCATTTGTCCATTTTAAAGTAAGTTTTTAATGATGACAGAAAATAAAATGAATTGGGAAACAAAGGAGGAATACAGAAATAATAATAATATTGATAATACAAAACGAAAGTCACTATACAAAACTAGAGCTCAAAATTACAAAGTGACAACGTAAGGGAACAGAACAATACAGGAGGAGCAGTGACGGCAGACTGGCACGGACAAGTCCAGCTGCCCCGAGCTGACGGCAAGTGGGAGGTTTTATGGGGACGCCCTCAGTGATGGATCCCCGGGGTTGGAAGACGTCCACGCTCTTGTCCCACTACAGCCACTCAGGTGTCAGACCGGCCACGCCCACACTTCAAGTCCCTCCAATAGATCTCCCGCACAGACACCTGTACAGAACACGAAGGCGCACACACAAACACAAAGGGCAACGGGAGCGCCATCTAGTGCACAACTGGCACAATAGGTCGTTGCCCGTAACACTCCCCCCCTTAAGAGCGAAACTACTCATTTTCAATAAACACGGTCAAGTAGCCAATTGGAACTACGGTAATAACCAGGGGGTACTATAGCGATGGACTGTCAAAATCTGGACAGGGCATCGGCCAACACATTTTCCACTCCTTTCTTGTGACGGATTTCGAGATGAAAGTCCTGCACCATCAGAGCCCACCTCATCAACCGCTGATTATGGTTAAACATGCGGGACAAAAAGACAAGAGGGTTATGGTCTGTAAAAACCAACACAGGCAAAGAACTCGACCCAACATATACCTCAAAATGCTGAAGAGCGAACAACAAAGACAACGTTTCCTTTTCAATGGTCGAATATGACAATTGGTGCTTATTAAATTTCTTTGAATAATAGCCAACTGGGTGGTCAACTCCAGCGGCATCTTCTTGAAGAAGAACAGCCCCGGCCCCTTCAGCACTGGCGTCTACCTCCAACTTGAATGGACGGGAACAATCAGGCGCTGCGAGGACAGGCGCATGGCTCAACAAAGCCTTTAGACTGGAGAACGCATGGTCACACTCCTGCGACCAAACAAAATCAACCTTGGGGCTGAGCAAACGAGTCAGTGGCAACGCAACGGTAGAAAAGTTCGGGCAAAAACTCCGATAATAACCGGCCATACCCAAGAACCGGCGGAGAGCGCGACGCGTAGTGGGGGACGGACAAGCAAGGATGGCAGCGACTTTCGCTTCAACAGGCCTTACTTGACCCTCGCCCACTTCTCGGCCCAGGTAGGTAACGGTGGCCCTCCCGAACTCACATTTGGCCAAATTCACCGTGAGAGAGGCCTGTGCAAGGCGTGAAAACACGTTAGTCAAAATAGACGTATGCTCCTCCCAAGTAGCTGAATGCAGAATTAAATCATCTAGATAAGCATTGCAGTTAGACAAGCCACTCAACACCGTATTAACAAGCCTTTGAAACGAGGCTGGGGCGTTGCGCATCCCAAACGCCATGACTGTATACTGCAGAAAATAATCCGGTGTTACAAAAGCAGAGATCTCCGAGGCACGCTTCGTGAGCGGCACTTGCCAATATCCTTTTAGCAAATCCAGTTTGGTTACAAATTTTGCAGTTCCTAGATTGTCTACACAATCCTCCATGCGAGGCATTGGGTAGGAATCTGGTTCTGTGACAGCGTTCACCTTTCTAAAATCGGTAATAAATCTGGGAGTCCCATCGGGTTTCTCCTCCACTAAGCATGGCGAACTCCATGCACTGGAGCTATGAATGGCAAGGCCGTGCTCTAGCAGGTATTCTGCCTCCTGCTTCATAAGCGCACGCTTAGCGGGATTCACCCTATAGTGATGTTGCCGGATGGGTTTTGCTCCTTTCACATCAATGTCATGTGTTAACGCGGTAGTTCGAGATGGTACATCACTAAATAAACAGGAAAAATCATGAACAATAGACAGTATGTCCTCTCTCTGAGTATTGCTCAAATGACCCAATTTCTCGGGCAGCTCGTTAACCATTTGAGAATTCGAGAGTCGCGCAACTTTAGCCTGCCGAGGAAAAACTGCATCTGGGACAGCCCGGTCAGTCTCTACTATCACCAGCGCTGCGGCACAAGTGGACGGGGACGCCACCGGTGGGTCAACACTGCGTTCATAATATTTCTTTAGCATGTTAACGTGACACACCCGGGACTTACGACGGCGATCAGGAGTACGGATGACAAAATTTGTGTCATTTATTTTCTCTTTTACCTCATACGGTCCAACAAACTTTGCAGACAACGCATTTCCCCTGAGAGGGAGCACGACAAGCACCTTCTCTCCCACCGAAAAATCACGTTTAACAGCCTTTTTATCAAAATGGACCTTCATACGTTTCTGGACTCCAGCAAGCGTAGACTTCGCCAGTTTATTCGCAGTCACCAACCGCTCATGAAAATGACTTACAAACTCGAGCACATTATGGGGCGCAGACGAAGGAGCCAGGAACTTCTCCTTTAAAGCTTTCAAAGGACCGCGGGGACTATGACCAAACACTAAGTCCGCCGGACTGAAGCCAAGAGACTCCTGTACCGCATCACGTGCCGCAAATAATACAAAGGGAATCCCCTCATCCCAAGTATTTCCCGTTTCCAAACAGTATTTCCTCAACATTGATTTTAACGTCTGATGCCACCGCTCGAGCGCACCCTGGGACTCTGGATGATACGCGCTGGAAACTACATGCTTTACATCCAGACTTCGGACTAATTCATTGAATAGCTTTGATTGAAAATTTGCCCCTTGATCTGACTGAACGACCCGGGGAAGACCAAACAAAGAGAAGAAGTTTGTTAACGCCTTTACTATGGAGCGGGACGTGCATTTACGTAGCGGAATGGCTTCAGGAAAGCGCGTCGCAGCACACATAATGGTGAGCAAAAACTCATATCCACTCTTTGTTCGGGGCAGAGGGCCCACACAATCTATTATTACACGATCAAATGGTTGGTCTATGGCAGGGATAGGTTGCAAAGGCGCGGAAGGAATGGGCTGGTTTGGCTTTCCTGCTATCTGGCATACGTGGCAGGTGCGACAAAACTCAGCCACATCACGTTTCAATCCAGGCCAGAAGAATTGTTTTAAAATATGTGTATAAGTCTTAGTGACTCCTAAATGGCCAGCCCATTGGCTCTCATGTGCCACCGCCAAAATGGACCTCCGGTAAGAGTGAGGCACCACGATTTGAAACACTGCACTTAAATCACACCCAATTGAAGCAAGCGGGGACCATTTGCGCATAAGCAGACCATTGTCAAGGAAATAGTAATGTTGTACATCGTCCTTGGGTTGTTCACTACTCACCACTCCGGAGAATAATACGCGTAAGGTTGGATCGGACTTTTGCTCCATAAGCAGTCGTTCGCGAGAACAAGGCAACCTCAGCCCAGCGAGTTTCTCCGACATGACAGGTTCCGCAGGCGTTTTTGAGACAGCCTGTAGGTTCTGTTTGGACCCACTCAAATCTGTAACATTACATAAAAAGGTATCAGACAAGTCAACGTCCGGTGAACAGGCCCTGGCGCGCGTCATGACGCACACGGGCAGCTCAGGGGAACCCATCTCCGTGGAACTGCAACATGGGGAATCAACAATTTGCAGGGGAGGAAATACCGTTCCCCCTGCTAAATCATTTCCCATCAGCATATGCACACCTGGAATGGGCAACTCCTGGCACACCGCAATAGGGAAAACACCGGTAACAAGTTTGGATTTCACGTGCACATAATGTACGGGGTGCGGGCAGTAGCCCATCTCAATCCCTCTTAATACCGCATTATATCCACAGAAAGACTCTGATGAAAATGGAAGCGCACTGGCTAATATTACAGACTGAGCTCCCCCAGTGTCACGTAAAATGCGGATGGACTTCTGATCATGCAGGGCTCCCTTTACAGACACAAGGCCCTCAAGTATAAACGGCTTGAAACACGGATCTGCACTGTCGCTTACAACAGGTGTACTCTCCATGTTAATTACTCCGACACCATTAGCTTTAGTGGCAGAGTAATTGGATTTACGCTTAAGAGCCAAACAGTTAGAGATGACATGTCCAGGTTTGTGACAGTAAAAACACTCTCGTTGCTCTTTGTGAACGGGTGGCGTGTTGGCAGGCCTACGAATTGGCTCTGAGACAAAGGACCGGTTTTTCTCCGTACCAAATGTGGTCCTATGAGTCAGGGCGAATTCATCAGCCAACACCGCGGCCTCTTGTAACGTGGTAACTTTCTGTTCACTCAAATACATAACAACTCTCTCCGATAAATTATCTTTGAATTCCTCCAACAAAATTAATTCACGCAAATCACAAAATGAATTAATTTTTGATGAAGTGCACCATTTCTCAAATAAAGTGTGTTTCTCTCGGGCAAACTCTACATAGGTCTGGTTTGGGGCCTTCTTGAGGCCTCTGAAGCGCTGCCGGTAGGCCTCAGGGACCAGCTGATACGAACGTAAAATAGCAGCTTTAACAGACTCATATCTCATACTTTCCTCCAAAGACAGAGCAGCAGAAACTTCCTGTGCTTTCCCAGTTAACTTACACTGGAGCAATGTGGACCAAAGCTCAGGAGGACAATTTATAGCCTGGGCTATGCGTTCAAAAGCAGAAAAATAACTGTCAATTTCAGACTCACGAAAGTTTGGAAAAAGCGAAACATATTTACTCACATCAACAGGTTGGACCGGACTGTGGGCTGGCTCAACAGCAGCAACGACCCGGCTAGGGTTAAGAGGAAGACGGCCTTCTGCCTCCAGCTCGAGCCGCCGCATTTTCAGCGCAGTCTCGGCCTCGATCTCAAGTTTCTTGAGTCGGTATTGAAGTTCCATAGTCGCTTGCCGCTCCCTCTCCCTTTCCTCCGCTTCCTCGTCCAGGCGCTCCACAGGTACTCTGTGCCGCGTAGGAACCTGGGGGAAACGGGACGGGCTACCCAGCGAGTGGTCCCAAGAGAAGCGGGTCGGGTGATCAGGCCGGCCTCTACTCTCAGACACACCGGGTGGAGAAGATGACGTTGTCAGCCTCTCCTCTGCTTTGGGAGGGACGCGTGCTGTGGATGGACAAACTTCCGGGCCCAATACCAGAGAGGTTGCCTCGGGACGCTCCGAATGACCAGCAACGACCTCCACCTCAAGCCTAGGAACGTGCATGCCGCCATGCTCCACCAGCCAGGATGCAACAATATGTTTCAACTCTGCTTTCTTTAAGTTTTTGTCCACTTCAATTTGGCACAGGTCTGCAATATCAACTAACTCAGTTTTCTTAAATTTATTCAACTCCTCCTCTGTAGGATGTGATAAAAATCTGTCAAAGTCAGCCATATTAAAAGTTTGCACGGGAACACCTGAGAATATTGCGCACGACAATTCACTTATTAAATCTACCAAAATTTGGTACCTACTTCTTTTAAATGAACATGGGAAAAGGATTTTCCGATCCCGGACGAGCCCCCAATTTTGTTACGTCCAGCTCAGCTAGGGAGTAAGAACGTAGCAAAAAACCAGATGGAATTGGCATTTGTCCATTTTAAAGTAAGTTTTTAATGATGACAGAAAATAAAATGAATTGGGAAACAAAGGAGGAATACAGAAATAATAATAATATTGATAATACAAAACGAAAGTCACTATACAAAACTAGAGCTCAAAATTACAAAGTGACAACGTAAGGGAACAGAACAATACAGGAGGAGCAGTGACGGCAGACTGGCACGGACAAGTCCAGCTGCCCCGAGCTGACGGCAAGTGGGAGGTTTTATGGGGACGCCCTCAGTGATGGATCCCCGGGGTTGGAAGACGTCCACGCTCTTGTCCCACTACAGCCACTCAGGTGTCAGACCGGCCACGCCCACACTTCAAGTCCCTCCAATAGATCTCCCGCACAGACACCTGTACAGAACACGAAGGCGCACACACAAACACAAAGGGCAACGGGAGCGCCATCTAGTGCACAACTGGCACAATAGGTCGTTGCCCGTAACAATATGACTCTGAGCAGCTAAATAATCGGAATATATAGTTGCCACCACAATCAATAAACGCATTTTTATTCATAGAATCCATAAGTGTGTGTATTGTTCTGATATTCCGTTTATTTCCTGAGATATGAATTAATAAAGTTGACGAACATGAGGCCGAGTGGGCAACAGATAGTCTGGCCTTGGAAAAAAAATCAGTCGGGATATCCTCGGCATTCCGCGGGGGTTAATTACGTCGCCGCGACGTGATATTTCCCGGGTAAACAGATTTCTTATTACAACGCATTACGGTGAAAGCGGCATCTCTCCAGCTGTTGTGGTTACGGAGATATGATCTGACGAACTTAAGAGCAAAATACATGGTAAGTAACCGGAATTTTGGGAAACCAACACCACACACATACATCTGATATTATAAGCTTTATAATTATGGTTTATTTGAATCATGTCACGGTTTGTCTGAGCCTGATGGCCATTTAAACACACAGGGATTTCCTTTTGATGGATGGAGAAATCGAACATCAGATGTGCCATCAGTATTGACACCAAGAACAGTTCCTATGTACCACACATCTGGATCACTATAAGCTACTGCTATGAAATTGCCAACTTGAACAACAGCAGTTTTTAATCTTTTAGCTGCTTCCTCATATTCTTCTCTGAAAAAAGAATAAAACATCTTAAAACATGTGTTATTGATTAGACTAAAGTTACAGACCCCAGCTTAAAACATGTAATTGATGAGACTAAAGTGACAGACCCCAGCTTTAACATGTTATTTATGAGACTAAAGTTACAGACCTGAGCTTTAAAGATGTGTTATTTATGAGACTAAAGTTACAGACCTGAGCTTTAAAGATGTGTTATTTATGAGACTAAAGTTACAGACCCCAGCTTTAAACATGTGTTATTTATGAGACTAAAAACCCCAAAATTCACACCCTACACACACACACACACACACACACACACATACATACATCTACACGCTCACACATTCACATTTACATATAGATACATGAAAAAGCAGAACCTGAGAAAAAAGCATTTTAAAAGTTTACTCCAATGTAAACAAATATTTTTAATTGTCTATCACTTGAATTATTGAGACCAGAAATGTTCATTTGAATTCTATATTGTCATGGACTTAAAGAAGCTATACCCGATTTTTTTTCTAAGTAGTTCATAAAAATGCTTTTTACTACATACAAGTTGTATCATAATACATAATTTAATTGAAAACTTGAGGTCATTGATTCCACTGTGTATGAAATTCAGGCAGTGAAAAGTGCTGAGTAGAGTCTTAGCGGGACGCTCGTTCTCCTCCACTCACAGAACAAGGAGCGAACAGTCTGCGTCCTCTAGTCTCTACAGCGCTGCTAAACACCAGGGCTTCGACTTCAAAATTCGAATAAAATTCTAAAATAAAAATATATATACATATTTAAACAAATATTAGACAGCCCTTATAATTAGAAATGTATTTAATGACTGCACATAAAATAGTTAGCTCCCAAAGGTTTCACCGGGACGTGCTAGGCAGGTAACAGCTAAGCTAGCTAGCTGTTTTATGGTAACTTCCGGGTTTTTCGCGATCGCTTTTTGTCACTTTAAAACAGTATTTTTGTCATGAAAACGTTAACAGCAAATTCTGAAATCGTCCGTGCATGTGTGTTAAGGATGTATATGTATACTGTATTGTCCGATTGACGTTTAATGGTGTTGATTGATTGATATGTATTTGTTTATTGAGATTCTCTACACCAGGGGTGCTCACACTTTTTCAGCATGCGAGCTACTTATAAAAGGATCAAGTCAAAATGATCTACCTACTACAAAAATGCAAATCATATATTTCAAAAAATATTCTTTATATCTACAATGTATGTTTATGTACATGCAAAACAGCATGAGCCAATATAGCACAACACAACACAATTACCTATGTACATTTTTTGTCATTACCCGAGTTTACTCTTATGACTTGCACTGAATTAAATCGGCCAGGGATGCATAGTCCGGAAAATTGGTGGCAACTCGCTGACAAGTTTGTCGTGGTTTTGCTTTCCTGCACTGAGCGCGGTTGTTTGCGCATGTGCAGTCACCTAAGTGTCAGTAAAACATTACTGAGTAAAACACAGATGTCATTTGACTGTGGTGCCATGTCCATGTGCCATGCCTGTTTTTTTTAAATCCAAATATTTCCCCTCCTCCGTTTATAAAATAATTTGCATCCACACATCTGCGTTATCAGTCACGTTCGTAACATTCCAAACATGTGCGTCTCTTACGTCCTGTCCTGCGTTGGGGAAAAACACAGAAGTGGGCGGAGTTCTGATGCAGACGCCGGTAACGGCACTTTTACAGTCATAGAAGACACTCAGAGTAAAGACGTATGTTTACAAGCACTGACCCCGTCCTCAGCCCTGGGTTAGTCCTGGTTTAGTCCTGGTTTAGTCCTGGTTTAGTCCTGGTTTGGTTGTTTTCGAGCGTGAGTCCGATCACTTTGCTGCTCTCTGATGTGGAGGATGTTCGCTGCTGCGAGCATCTCACAGCGGACAATTTTTAAGGTAGTATGATCCATGCTTCAGTGATCAGAGGAATTTAGGGGGGTACTGTGGCGTGCGAGAACGCAAAACTCTGGTTATCTCTGACTACACACAAATGCATTAACGGAGTTTTCAAAAATCTCCACTTTGCCCGGAGTTTTTTGTATATATTCGTTTAGAGTAATTTTTTATTTATTTAATGCGATCTACCAATACTACCTTTGCGATCGACTGGTAGATCGCGATCGACGTATTGAGCACCCCTGCTCTACACAGACAAGTGTGCAGAGAAACTGCACAGTGTGACAGGCGCTGATAGCTTGTTGTACACTCAAAGAAATGATTCAGGTGGTTAGTATTTTGAACTCAAAATACATACTAAACTAAACTCAATAATTGATTTTTGCCAGTTTTACTTAAATTAGTGTGGTCGCAACTCATTTTAAACATGTCGGTCTCAATTAAAAGTTAATACAAGAATCCTAACTCATTTTTGTAACAAATTTGAACTTGATATTCTGGCATAACTGGACAACGGAGAAGTATTGAGTTTGCTCAACATGAAAATCCTCTTGTAAGCCTGGTGGCCCATTAATGAAAAAACAAATATATTGAGTTGATTCAAAATAAATATATTGAGTTGATTCAAAATAAATATATTGTGTTGATTGAAAACAAAATGTGGCGAAGCAGTGACGCTACCCAGAATGCATTGCAGCGAAAAATATAAACTTCTTAAAAATTCTACATTTGAGCATTAATTTTAAAACTGAATATGAAGCAAGTCCTAAAGCAAAATACTTGAGCAACATTCTGAATAAACTAATTTGACCAAATAAGTAATTGTATTTATTTTTATCAACCATGATCGAGAGGGCCATGCCAAAGCAGTCCTATACTCCCTGTGTCACCCTTCAATATTGAACAAATACTTTAAGGTGGACATGTTTACCGGTGACTGTGCTGGCCCACTCTCATATATATGTGGAGTGAGAGACTACTGCCTGAAATTAACAATTGTGAACCGTTTTGTGAATCTAATCTTTGAAAGATGGTATTTGAATAAAGATTACATATTCCTGACTGAAAATCACTTGTTGAATATACTCAAAAAGATTTATTTTCAATGTAATTATTTAAGTTGGTAGTATTGTTAAAATTAAGTTGAGCTGATGCTAAAACACTTGCTGAATATACTTAACAAAGTGTCTTTATAACTCAATTATCCAAGTTGGTGGTATTGAAAAAATTGTGCTGGACCAATGATAAAAGACTTACAAAGAATACTTAAAACACAGTCTTGTTCGCAAAACTTAAAAAGATGCATGCAAAATGCTGCCTCAATTTTATTAAGTTTTGCCAATGCATTTTTTTTTAGAGTGTACTTGCGGAGTAATGGCAGTATTTTACACAGCTGAATTACAAACAGAGATTGCATTGGGGCTGCGGTCATTATTGATTTGAGAGTTCTGTTATCAAGAAAAGATTTTCGGAAGAATTGCATTCAAGTCAATGGAGTGCTGCTGCTGTGAGGAGCTGTATAATAAATTATAATTAAATATTAGAATATATTCTAATGTTTTAAATTAATACATCCGGACGCGAAACTAATGGTATTCTTTTA